ACGCCAGACACAAATGTTTTCCAGAAAACCCCTGGCCAGGCCCTACATCTCCCAGCTCCCCAGCCGTGCCTTATCCTGTTCCCCAAGGGGCCACCACAGCTCTGTTCTCTCACCATCCTCCCCTCTTCCCCCGTCCTCTGCTCCCACACAGAATTCCACTTCACATACACAGGTGTGCAGGCTGTAGCCTAGAAGCGTGGCAGTGCTGGGGTGGGGGCCTCTGACTCTGAGACAACCGGTTCTAGAAGTATCTCTGAGCTCTTCTCGGACTCTCCCCTGGTCTCACCACAAGAAGCCACTGCCCCCCTTTCTCCCTTGCATGTCCCACAAAGAAGAAATTTAGATGACCCAAAATTCCCGGATAGGAGGGCCTAGCTTAAGGCCACACCACATTCCCATGCCATTTCCAAGTAGCACCAAAAGGGCGAGGCTGGCAATGCTGCTGGACAGCCCCCACCCAGGAGGCAGGGTAAATTCCCAGAGTAGCAAGCCACTGAGTCGGGTCCCAGGCATGGGGTCCCTAGGGACTAGAGGATTCTGTAGCCATGCTGTTGAGAAGCCAGCTGCCTACGGCCTCCCGCCACCCCAGAGAGAGCCTGGTCTTTACCAGCTTGTACCACGCTGAACTTTGGGGAAGCCTTCTTCAGCAGACCCCACCCTGCTCTTACCCTGGCTTACTCCGCGTCCCCTCAGCACTTAGATGCGAAGTTTACTATGTGTTCAGTCATCTTGCTTATGTGTTACTTTGCAAATATTCTCATAGACCTCGGCGCTGTGAGCTGTGAGAGTCTGGAGCATTAATTAAGTCCATTTTGCTAGAGGATTAGTCCCTGCCCTTAAGGAGTGCCGAGGAACACTCTGGAATCGAAGCCACATCTCTCTTACTGCAATTTTTTCCTCTTGATAATCAAGCCATCTCCCTGACGAAACTCCCCTCAATAAGCAACTTCTCTCAACATTCAAGTTCTTGCTTGGACTCTCGGGGAGGCCCCAGATAAGGTCGAACAGGGGCAGGGATCTCTGGTGTGCCTCGAAGCTGTCAGTTCCTCTTCAAAGGTAATGGCCGTCCTTTGGTATACTGCAAACCCTTCCCAGGCCAGCTCCACTCTTGCTAGCCTCAGAAACCAAGCTGTCTGCGGGGACTACATCCTTACCAGAACTCCGGGGGCTCCCTGCAAGGCCACAGAAGGCTAAAGGGAGAGGCTGCCCTGGGAAAGAATCCTGGCTCTAGCTCTTCTTGACTATGTGGACTTGATCACTCTGAATCTTTATTTCACTGTCCAGGAAATGGGTGCAGTAATGGCAACCCTGTAGGAAAATGGGTAGCAAAGAGTGGAGCTGATGAGACACACTCGTCTGTGCTGCCCGAATAGAAGGTGATGCTGGACAGGCAGGGTCGAAGGAAGGCCTCCTAGGCCTGCTTGCCTCATCTACCTGCACCTGGGCCAGGGATCCTGCTCCTTCCCCTTCAACCCCAAGCCCTTAGCCAAGCTGGCAGACTGGTGTATGGGGCATCAGGAAATGTGTTTTATAAATTCAGATCAATGAGCCTGGGTAGTTGGCTCCATGGGTAAGAGTTCTTGCTGCCTAGGCATGAGGACTTGAGTTTAAACCCCGGCATCCATGCAAAACCCTGGGTGTTGCTACATGCTCCTGTAACCCCAGCACTGTTGAAAACGAAAGATTACTGAGGCTTGCTGTATGTCAGCCTAGCTCCAGGTCGAGTGAGAGACCTTGTCTCAAGGGATTAAGGTAGAAAATGATAGAGCAGGACAGTCAAGGTTTTCTGGCCTCTGAATGCATGTGCATGCCTATGTATAACTACACACATACCACACGAACATTCAGACCCCACCAATCAAACATTCAGACCCCACCAATCGAACATTCAGACCCCACCAATAGGACCAGTGGGGGTGGGTATTTGTGAAGAGACACCTCAGCCCTGAAACATCTTCCTTTCCCCCAACACCCAGCCCACCCTGAGCAGGGTCTTAATGGGAATGAGTGATGGGCTGGACATAAGGGCCGCCAGGGCTTCCTGAGTGACAGCGCTCTTACCCACTGGGACAACTCCCCAGACCCATTGATCTGCTTTTATAAATAGAGTTTTCAGATCCTCTCATCCCAACCATGAGCCTGGTTGGCTAAGGGCTCATAGTTGAATGAGAGGAAGCAGGGTCCCTGGCCCAGTCACTAGTCCATGGGGCAGACGTGCCTGGACGGCATTCATGTATACCCGACCTGTCCAGCACTGCACTTCACTCTAAAGCCACCCCACGACATCAGTCAAACATTCTCCAGGAAATGAGAGAAGGAACTCCCAATAGTTGGGGTAGGAAAGGTTTTTCCCCATTCTACACCAGGACAGAACACATGGGCCCTTGGTACAAGCTTCCTGGAGGCTTTGGAGGGAAGTCCCCATTGTCCTGGTCCTGGCCCCAAATGGCAAATTATCTGTCATCAGCTATTTAATCTCAGCCCACAGCACAAAATATATTTTACACAGAGGCCAACACGCACATGTTGTCACGAGACCGTGCTTGGTAATGCACTCACCCTTCTCCACCCTCATGACCCTCTGGCAAGTCACAACCAACCATCTGATGAGTCCTGTTGCAGGTAACGCGAGCAAGGTTCAGCTCAAGGGAGTGAATGTTTCCCCAGGACCGGGGCACTGAGTCAGCAAGTGAGACAGCTGTACATTCGCTCCTTCCTCACTTAAGAAACCCTCATAAGCGGGGAGCTGCGGCCACAGCTGAGGATGCGAAGAGATAGCATCCTCCTCCCAGGAGCTAGAGCACCAGATGCCCTTACAGTCGGCTGAGACCTAAGGAGGCTTTGTAAAGATGTAAGATGAGTTTGCTGCTCACTTAGGAGTTCACATCTACTTTAGGAGGCATGCATCTCCTGAACTGTGAAAACTTTCAGTGAAGCCCTATGCGCCAGGGTGGGTTCCGGGCTCCTCTACCCACCCAGCTAAGCTTCAAGTGGGGGGAAAGTGACCTTTAAGGAGGGTTAGGAAGAAGATGGAACCGGTTCAAAGCTGTGAGAGTATGAACAAGAGGTGGTATGTTCACCAAAGGGACAGCAAGCCCTCCTGGCTCCTCCTTCGGAAGCCTGAGGCCATTTTAACATAATTTCAGTCACAACAGAAACATTATAAGGAGGGTTAGTAAAGCCCTTCTTACAGGGGAGTCTGCCAAGTTCCAGACTCCCTTGTTCCTCAGAGGTTTCCCCAAACCAGAGCATCTTGGCCTAGAGAGTCCTGCTCGGAAGGGAGTCTCAGTTATCACCATCTATGGTGACTGAAGAAGGTCAGGTTGCCTTCTAGGGTGAAGTGCACATTAGGGGGAGGGGCAACTGAGAGCATCATCAGCCTATCCCTGCCCGGAAAGAAGGCAGGGCCCACACCCAGGGCTTCCCGCCTAGGAATGCCACCTGCCAGCTGAAATCCTGGCCCACGTGAGCACCCTAAGGGCTGAGAGAGGGGTGAAATTGCTGCTACCCCCACCCCCACAAAACGCCAACAGGAAATGTGTTGAGGTCGTCAACATCTCTATGGCCACTAGGCCAGTGGCCTTATGGCTCCGAAATGATGGGGCAGGAGCCAGGTCATTAGGCAGGGAGACTGTCATTAGAGCAGGTGATGCCACCGTGCTCAGACAATGGCAAACAGTCATTAGTGGCTGTGTCACAGAGTGAGGCAATGCTGTCTGGGGGAAGGGACAGCACTGGGTGCAGCCTACACACAAACGTACACACACACAGCGAAGTGTGAGAGGACTTCTACACTCACATTCACTTGGGGCTAAAGACACGCTCGTGTCTCTACACATTCAGACACAGGAACTGGAAAGTTTGCACATTCACCTGCACACATGGTCACACACATTCACATACAAGGTGTCAACAGGCACATGGATGTTCACACATGGGGGGGGACACTGTAGCAGACACGGTGACAAGTTTACTCATAAAGGAACATGAGCAGAAATACATCCCGAATACAAGCTGGGAAGTCATACTCACGTTCACACAGGTGAGAGCAGACATACACACTCACACACACACAAGTGCTCAAGGCACATGTGCCCTTGGGGATGTGAGAAATGGTGTTCACACTCTTGGGTGCGTGTTTTTTCATGCACAAGGAGTGTGGGTGGGCATTCTCAGGCACACATGTGAAGGCATATTTGTACTCCCACACATGAGATAACTAGACACATTGCCCAAGAAGTATCCGGGGTCTGAAGACCCCTGTACCACCAGAGGGGCCCTAAGATCCTCCCACAACCAGGCACCCCAACACATACCCTTACACTGAGCTACACACACATACACGCACACGTACACGCACACACACACACACACACACATGCATACTTTCTCACACATACACAAACTCTCTCTCACACACACACACATACATACACACATGCATACTCTCCCACACACAATCTCTCTCTCTCCTTTCTCTCTCTCTCTCTCTCTCTCTCTCTCTCACATACACACACACACACACACACACACACACAAATCCAAGGGGCTCCCACATGCCCCATCCCAACCACCCCTGCTACAAATAGCTTAGAAACTAGACAGAGAAAGTAAGCAAAGGCAGAAGCAGCCCTGCACACTGCACCTGAAGGCCAGCTCCTATTCTCCCCAACTAAAATTCTCACAAAATCAAAATGGGCTGCTGGGACCAGGTGTCCAGGCCTCATGACCGCTATGGCAGGAGACTGGCAGAGGCAGAAGATGGAGCTCAGAGGAGCTCTGGCCCGGGTTGGTCCACTCCCTGTCCTCTTCTCCCTGTGGACTACAGGGGGGACAGACAGACAGGACCAGACAGAGCTGACTGACAGAGTCTTAGGGTCAGTTTCTCACTATGCTACTCACAAGTTCTGAGGGTGTTCCTTACCTGCCGCCTTTGTAAGAATCGCATGAGTTCCATGACTTTGCCCATGTTGTACTTATTATTTTACATAAATTTTATTCATTTCTACAGACCCTGAAATGGATCTCAATGGGCTAGAGTTGGGGTGTCAGCAGAACGAGGCTCTTTCCTGCCGGCCACAATCCTTAGCTCCCCTGGCTTCAGAGCCAGCTCTTCATATTGGTCATCCGCCTCCTCCAACATTTAAAGGGCTCAGAAAACGATTCTGGATCCACCCAGATAACCAGGTTAATCTCCCCAGCTCTTCCCTTATATCTGTGAAGTCCCCTTTGCCCTGACTAGGATGCAAACATCTCTGGATGGAGCCGAGAGTGGGGTTGCTATTATTCTGTCTACAACGTTGTCTAAACTTGCCAATGCAGCCCCTCGGTATCTTCAGTGGCCAAGTGGAAAGAGCACCCACCCTATGGATGATGTTGTGTTAAACTTCAGGAATACTTAACACAACACACAGGCTCACATATATTCTACACACAGGCTGCCTCACACACTTACTCACACACAGGCTCACACATGTACTCACACACAGGCTCACACACAAGCTCACACTTGCTAACACACTTGCTAACACACAGGTTCACACACAGGCTCACACACTTGCTCACACACATGCTCACACACATACTCACACACAGGCTGCCTTCAATCTTCAGCTTCCTAAACCTGGAAGGGGAGTAGTCTGCAGACAAAGGAAGTAAGGGACCTCAGAGTCTAGAAACATCCATGCAGCCCTGGGTTAAGGACTGTGTCTGTGGGGCTGTCCCCTGTGAGAGTCCACACTGCAGGGATCTGATGCACAGTGGGGATGTTGCTCCGACGCATTCCTATCTTCTTCATCTGCTTCCCTCAGTTTGTTGGGCCCCGGGGCCAGGTGGGTAGGAGGCCCAGCCTGAGCCACTATTACAGGAGTAAGTAGAGCCTGCAGAGCGATGACCTGACAAGGCAGACCCCATGTAGAGGAGTAGCTCACTGGAAACAGTCATTAGACCCCAGCCTTACCCAGCGCTGTTTGTCCGCTCTGAACACAGCCCAAGGCACCTCAGAGAAGAGCTGAGGTCATCAGACTCCTGCTGGCCAGTCTTACAGGACAGTTTGGAAGACCAGCTGCACCCATTGCCACGTCTTCTCGCCTACATCGACTCCGGCCCTTCTGGCCCCTCTCCTCAGCCCAAGCCAAGTTCGTATTGTATCCCAAACTCTGACTCCCTCCAGAAACTCAGAGTTTAACCAAGGGACTGGGCCTCCAAACATAAGGAGGACTGGACTCGGAGGCAGAAGATCTGGGTGCAAACCTCAGTCCTCTACAAAATGGGAATGTTGACATGCTGGACCTGCCTGGAAGAGGTGACATGCCTGAACACTTACATTGGAATTATGAAACACAAGGAAAGACTCCTACCTTCTTCTCTGTGGGACACAGTAAGCAGGCCATGCCCAGGCTGGCATTTCACATACCAGCTACTGTGGAGATCCCCACATTTCTCTCTGTTGGGGGATCCCCAATAGTTGTGGGGGGAAGAACACCAGAGAACAGGGAGGAGACCATCAGATGGCTAGCAGCCATAGGGTCCTGCAAATTAGGACTTATAAATGCTTGAAGGGCAATCACGAAGTTCCTTGGCTGTGTCAACGCTGGGAATACAGAGACCCAAGTGCACAAGGTGGGTGAGGTTTCAACTTCTGGGTGTCTGTAAGACTCCTACATGGACACTGAGGACCCCTGTGTGAGTGTGAGAGACCTGGAACCTGATGTCTCCCCACCTGGCTGCTCCTTACCAGATCTGGCCAGCTCAGCAGCTGGAGAGGTGCCTAGTGTGGCTCTAGGCCGCTGCCACCTGACAGGTGACAGATCTCTCCACAGGGAGTAGAACAAGGTTTCGGTCTATTATCAAGCCAGATAAAGGCCGTCTCTAGGGCTTCAGGGAAAGAGCTGGACTGACAAACAAGCATCTCTGACAGGCCCCACCACTCCCCGGCTCCATTGTCAGCTGTCCACCTGCCAATGCCTCTTTGTTCCTCTCTAAAAGCAGCCCCAGGGAGAGGGCATCTCCTAGACAGCTGTGTGCAGTGAGGAGAGGAACAGCGAGGAGGCTGGAATCTGCCAGGCAGGGCCGGAGAGAAAGGAACTCAGAAAGTATTGGTCTCCTGGGGTCGGGGGTGTGTTATCAACAACAAACGTGTCTTATCCCACTGCTTGGCACAGGGCTTTCACAGAGAGAATCACAGAAGCATTTCCTGAGTGCGCGACCAGAGAGAGTAGCGAAGGTGAGATCGCAGCTTTCTCCAATGGTCCAGATTACAGGCATGCTTGGAGGGCGGAAATGGGGTCTCCAGACCCGAAGATGAGAGGGTCCAGTGGTCCAGATTACAGGCATGCTTGGAGGGCGGGAATGCGGTCTCCAGACCTGAAGATGAGAGGGAAGGAGGAGATCATTCCCTAAGAGTCACAGAAACTGATACCAACCAGCAGCTGCTCGCCTACTCTACCTACGGCTACAGAACCATAGCCAAAAAGCACCCCTGCCATAGCGGAGGCTGCAATGAGAGGGCCCACTCAATGGATGAGGGAGGGGTCTCTCCAGGAAGACCTCCTGCAGGAAAGCACACATGGCACACCCTGAAGGCCAGGGCTGGAAGTGAGCTGGGCACAGTGGGTGTTACACCGTGGACACAGGGAACACTGTTCCTTAGACTGTCATTTCCTCCTGGCTGGAAGCAGATGAAAGGATGCTCCTGGTGGGCCGGGCTACCCCGCATCCCTCCCTGGAAGGCATCAACAGCAAGCGGAAGCAGGGGCCCTCTGCCAGTTTCCCCTTGTGCAATCCTTCTTCCTGCTCCTCTCCACACAGAGGCAGGTCTGACAACTATGCCAAGAGACCTCTGGCAATAGCCCAGTACCCACAGAGCTAGCCACAGGATGGTTTTCCTCAGGGAAGGCTGGGCAGCTGAAGCCTGGACCAGGGAAAGCGAAATGTTCCATGCTGGGTCCTATCTGCAAAAAGGAGGAGCCTGGGCACTCCGACGTGTCCCTGCCCTGCCCTGAGTACACGTTTCTTTCTTTCTTTTTTTTTTAATTTCTTAGAGTTTATTTAACTTTATTTTATGTGCATTGGTATAAAGGTGTCAGATCCCCTGGAACTGGATCTTCAAACAGTTGTGAGCTGCCATGTGGGTGCTGGGAACCCACATGAACCCGGGTCCTCTGGAAGAGCAGTCAGTGCTCTTATCCGCTGAGCCATCTCTCCAGCCCCCAGAGTACACATTTCTTTATACTCTGGACCCTTTGAGGCTTCCTGGGGAAGCTTGTAGGGAGACCTTCCCTTCTCAACCTCCAAGAATTTCTTTTTCTTCCTTTGTATCTTTTCTTTCTTTCTTTTTTTTTTTAATTAACCCTATTTTGAGACAGAATCTCACTATGCAACCTTTCTGACCTAGACTTGCTATGTAGCCCTGACTGGCCTTAAATTCACAGAGATCCTCCTGAGTTCTGGGATTCAAGGTATAAATCACCACACCCAGCCAGTCACCAAGATTTTGACTATCACAAGACAGTATCAGGGTCCCCCAGACTCTGGATGGAAAATACAAAGAGCAGGATGTTTAGAACTCAGTACAATGTAGGTCTCCGGGAGCTGACTGCTGGTGGCCTGCATGAGAGCCCAGGACAAAGACCCTAGGTCAACATGGGGCTTAATCCAACTCAGCGCAGGCGAGCAGCCACCCTATCCTGCAAAACAGAGGCCACAGCCGCCCCTCCTTCTGTGGGTGTCCGTGTACTGACTCTACCACAGGCCACTCGGGGTCTGTGACTTGAGAAACCCCACAGCTCTTGGTGATAAGTTCTCTGTCCCAGGAGACAGAGCATGTGCTCTCTGTACAAGATGACCTTTCACTCAGAAAGAGCTAGCGCCAAGACCTACTGTGTGCCAGATTCCATGTGAAGAAGCGTGGTATCAAGGAATCTGAGCCCTCACCATGTCTGCGTTCCCAGAACTCAGCTCAGCTGAAAGGCAGACACAAACATGCCAGCAGCCAATGACAAATAGCTACAAATTGGGCTAAGTGGGCTGAGGACGGGAAAGCTCAATTAGCCTTGCGGCCTCCTCCAGACCTTGAGGCCTGTCCTCATTACACAGCCAGGCACGCATGCCCTCCCCGGGGCTCAGCCCGGCTGAGGGCCTGGCAGAGCAGGGGGTATGACAACTGGGTAAGGAGCCCTTATTGAACCAAATGGGGGTGGGGAGGGCAGAGGGTAAAAAACAAAAACAAGTGTCATTCCATGTAGCCTAATTTTAAGAATCTAGAGACCAAGCATTTGATAAATCACACAGCTGCTAAGTGGTAGATCCCCAGAGCCGAGGTCAGATGTCCCACCTCTGGGTCATGGTCCCATAGCATCCTGAGCTAGGAAATAGCTTCCAGGGATCTGCAGCATCCTGACTCATCTCAGAGGCTCTTCGCCGATGAGCACTGTCTGGTCAAACTGTGTGTGATGTCAGTGTTTCACATCTGGGATGCCCCACACAGAACGTGGCCCCACTGCACTGTCCAGTTGTGGCCTGGGAACCCGAGGGGACCGCACAGGGAGCCACCCAAGGACTTTGACCCAGCAGTAAAATGCCTGGGCTGCAGCCTCTGTGGACTCCACGGCACCTGCGACACTCCAGTAAGACCAGCTCGCGTCTCCAGTGTCACTGTCCCAAGCAGATCTGCACCTCCCAGCTTATATGTGGAGTGCCTTTCCTCTCCTCCGCCCCCTCAGTGCTTCCTCTTCCTCCAGGCCTCAGGTCCCTGCCGGAAGGCGGCCCAGAGCTCCTCAACTGGACTGGTGCCTCTGCCAGAGTGTGCAAACCTTCTGGCACACAGAAGGGGCCTCACCTCTCCACCCTCTCTGCACCCTGCCCCCTTCCCGAAGCCACACTCCACTCCCCAGTCCCCACACTGGAATACCCAGACAGAGGCTCAGAGGCCAGGAGACCATGCTCCCACATTCCCTGTGGACTGACCCTGTGGCCTCAGGTCAGTCCTGCTCCCCTGGAAGACATGGAGAAAGGGACTAGGCACTGAGCAGGTAGTGCCCTCTGGCATGAACAGCTCGGGAACACATTTGAAAAGATCCAGCATGAAGACAGAACCTTCCCAACCTGCCCTGAAGCTCTGACACTGTCTTTCCTGAACCTCCCTTGGCTCCCAGGAGCTGAATCCCAGGCTGGCCAGTACTCCTGGCGATGTCCACTCAGCAAACAGTGAGAGGTTGCCAGTCCTCAGACCTGCCCCGGGCCATCCCGGAGAGAGCAAGGCAGAGAAGAGACTGAAACTATGACACAGAGATGACTGCCATTCCTATAGACCAGACAGCCAGATGTCTCTCCTCCCTAACTGTGACGACAGGCCAAGGAAAGCCAGTGAGAGCCAGCACAGAAGAGAGGCAGAGGGAGACAGGTCAGAGGTCACAGGGAGGGCGTGACGAAGGAAGACCGAGAGGATGGAGGAGCCCGTTTCCAGAGTCCCAGATGTCCACAAAGTGTCCTCATGTCCTTCCAGCTGGCATTGCCCAGACTCGTGTGTTTCTGGAAAGTACCCAGGAAGGACCCGGGCAGTCTCCAAGGAGACTTAATACCCCCACCTTCTGCCCCCTCTCCCACAGTCTTCCTGCTTCAATGGACACTCAGCTCCTGGGGCTCTGGCTCCTCTCAAGGCTGGAGAGGGTCCTGTCTGAGCTCAGCAAAGGTAGACAGAAGCCCTCCCCGGCTGAGAGGGAAAACCTCTAGCCAGAGCTAGCCTGATCAGATGGGCCTTGGGGGAGCCCACCCTGAGGTGGAGAGGTGGGTAGAGTCAGAGCAGGACAGGGGTCAGGAGAGGGACTTGCTCAGGGGGGACCAGGGAGGAAGGGTGGAACAGACTGTAGAATTTGTTTATTTTGGGGTTTTTTGCTGCCTTTCCTGTTTGGCAATCACACTGTGGCACTCAAAGACACCTCTCCAGAGGACCCAAGGGGAGTGCGGGGCCCGAGAGGAGGCGACAGGTGGCCCCTGTGTTCCATCATGCCCTCCATCCTTCTGACGAGACAAGAGCACCCTCCAAGGAAAGCCCCCAGAGACAAGCCCCTCACTTCCAGCCGGGAACAACACACTGTGGCCTGTCTGGGCTTAGAGGTTCACAAGAGCCGGCCAAAGTCAGAAAGAAGTGACAGGCTGAAGTGAGCATCGAGAGGGAACTAACCCTACCGAGGACAGCAAACAGGAGACAAAACCAGCTTGCGTTTTGTCCCCTACCCTTCCTGCGGCATCTGAAGTCACCAAGGACAAGCAGTACCCTGAGACCAGGCACATCACCCCACCCTCTGTACTAAGGGTGGCGGATTCAGTGTGTACCTTAGAAGAAGCTGCAGTGAAGAATGTGGGCACATTCAGGCCATACAGAGCCCGGATGCCATCGACTGCCCCCTCAGAGCACTAGGGCCGACCAGGAAACATGGCACTAGATCTGACCGCATGCCATTCAGATACCAGGCCAGGGAAAGATGGCGGGAGGCCAGGTCGGTCATTCCAAGCACACCAGGCTCCTGAGTGCAGAACACTGCCTGTAGCAGCAGAAGTGGGACA